TCAAAGAGAGCTGCCCTCGGCTCGTAAACAAGAGCTGGAAAAAGTAGCCTGGCATGTCGGGGCAGATCCAGATCAAAGGGACGGGAAAGGCGGCTCTCTTTGTTTGTGGTGTTTACCGGGGGTCTTTGAAGAAAGGTCCTAAAAATCCACTTTCGGACAGAGTTGCTGTTTGTCAGCTGCTTTCTCTTGCGGGGCGTTAAACGGGTCTGGTATGAGCGCTGTCTTGACAGGGCAGGGGGGAATGTAGCATTTGCCCACTGGAGAGTGCGTGATAAATGCTTTGCCGATGACTGTACCAGCAATGGATCGGGCTCCAGCCACCCACGGATTCCCTCGCACCACTACGCTAAGGGAATCATTTCCCAGTAATTAAAGAGCTCTCCTAGGACCGAGGTATGGCTAGGGACATGTTTATCACGCTGCTGGCCAATTATACACCGCATAGATTACTATTTTATTTAAAGTGTAGTGCCGGAGACGCGTCACACAAAGGATACTCCGAGGCAGTCAATCCTTCCTCTTTTTAGTTTCCATTATTTATAAATTTAACACTTTGGCATCGTATTTTTAATCAAATACCTTTCTTTTAAAGATGAAAAATCTTGGAAGTACAGAGAAAAAAAAAAAAACCCAACCAACCAACATTATTTGAAGTGTTAACATTCAAATACCCAGCTGAGGATGTGGCTTTTAGAGTTAGCATTTCAAAGAGAATCGGGTGAAACAGATAGGCAGTCACCCTGCTCCAGCAGTGAATTGCAGAGTGAGAGATCTGCAGATTAGGCAGAGTGCCTGTCATTTCTGCACCTTGTGCTGTCTGGTAGGCATAAAAGATGGAAAGTTTGCTGTACGCTGTAATACCGGCTCGCTCTTCATGCTTGCTTCGCGTGAACAACTCATGCCGTGGCTTTTTCTCCTTGTTCTTGATGATGTTGATTAAGACACCGATTATAAAAGATAGGTTTTCATTAGCGTGAATGTTTACAGCTTCCTCCGTAGGTAGCTTGCGGCCGGCTGAACAGTATTGCCTTTTATTTGCAAAGCCTCACGTGGCTTGCATGCCATCATCTTTCTCAGATGGTAACAAATCATGTGGACTATGATCTGTTTTGTTTTTGTAGACAAGATGTGAAATGGAGAAATACCTGGCACCTCAGCTCCCGCCTGTCCCCGTCATCCCTGAGCATAAGAAATACAGAAGAGACAGTGCCTCGGTTGTAGACCAGTTTTTCACTGACAGTGAAGGGTTGCCTTACAGCATCAACATGAACGTCTTCCTCCCCGACATCAGCCACCTGAGAACTGGCCTGTACAAATCCCAGCGACCCTGTGTAACCCACATCAAGACAGAGCCAGTCACCATCTTCAGTCACCAGAGCGAAACTACTGCCCCTGCCCCCCCTACTCAGGCCCTCCCTGAATTTACCAGCATCTTCAGCTCCCACCAGACCCCCGATGTGAACAACATTTTCATCAAGCAAGAGCTTCCTACTCCAGACGTTCATCTTTCTGTCACGCCCCAGCAAGGCCAGTTGTATCAGCTCCTGAGCTCACCGGATTTAGATATGCCCAACACTACTACTCAGGCGGCGGTGATGGACTCCCTTAACAATGTCTCCATGCCGTCAGCCATGGCGGGCCTTAACACGCTCTCCTCGGCTGTTCCACAGACTGCGATGAAACAGTTCCAGGGCATCCCCCCCTGCACCTACACCATGCCAAACCAGTTTCTGCAGCAGCAGGCCACTTACTTCCCTCCTTCGCCCCCAAGCTCTGAGCCTGGAAGTCCAGACAGACAAGCAGAGATGCTACAGAATTTAACCCCTCCTCCGTCATATGCCGCAACTATAGCTTCCAAGCTGGCAATTCACAATCCGAATTTACCAGCAACTCTGCCCATAACCCCGCAGAACATCCAACCAGTCAGATACAATAGGAGAAGTAACCCAGATTTGGAGAAGAGACGTATCCACTACTGTGACTATCCTGGTAAGCAGTCTGTGCCAGAAAATCCCAGCTCTTGCAATAATAAAGAGTGGGAATAATAATGGATGAGGTGTAAGTGGTTTTCTTTAGTTGTAGTCTACACCTAGGGAGAAGCAAGTATTTCCTTGTCAAAATAGAATTTCTCTGTTTTATTTTGCGTGGCACACGTTCACATGCTTTAAATAATATACACCCTTTCCTTCATGTCATTTGAAATTCTCTTAAACACCTGAGCTCGTTTTACCATGGTATGAAACTTGTGCTTCATAGGCAAAAAATCCCCGAACAGTAAAAATGATGGTCTCCTGTAATGTAAGTAAGTTAGTGTGACAATGCAGCTCCTGCTTGCACTTTCTTAATGCCCATGACGGAGCAGAGGCTCACTTTGTCCAACACAGCACAGCTCAGTTAGATTGGGCTGGTGCTGAAAGAACCATTTCAGCTCCCGGTAGCTGAGGCCTGGGCCATATCTTCCGTGTTACAAACAGGGGATTTAGCTGCCCACATAAATCCATTAAAGCTATCTCTGAAAATTGTCCACAGATGGATTCCCTTCCATCCTTTTCTGTGTTGAAGGGGAGATGGACCTGACTATAAGCTGCGCTTCCATGTAGTATGTGATCCCAGATGCAAGACATTCGCACCCATCCGAGCACAGAGAAAAACCGCTGCTTGTGGTTGATCTCCCCCCTTACCAACATAACTCTCAGCGGGGTATCACCCGTTCAGTGTACTGTGTGATAAATGCTCAGTGGGAGAGTTATGCTGAGCCCTGGGTGACAGTGACACCAAGTCTGGCTTCATCAGATCCTTCAGGAAAATTTTGAAAAAATAGAAGTTCTACTCTGAGTTGTTAGCCTACGTAGCAGGTGTTACAGTACATAGATTGTAGCGCTATTGGTCTATACTACATTACAAGGTAGTAAGTCTACCAGAAACATACAAAAATTATTCTCTTTTCTGTGTAAAGCAACATATCCCTAGCAGCCTTCTATGTCAAATCTTATTTCAAAATGATGATGGTGCCAGGAGGTGGTGAACTTAAACGTTTCCAGCTAGTACCCCAGCACTGAGTGAGAAAGCTTAAATGTAACATGGAGTGTTCATGTTCTCCCTGCTGAAATGCCTCTCTGCTTTTTTGTTTTGTTTTGTTGTAGGCTGCACGAAAGTTTATACAAAGTCTTCTCACTTAAAAGCACACCTGAGAACTCACACGGGTATGTACTCGCTATATCTCACTGTCTTTTGTTCATTCGTGGCTTACCTATTTTCTGAGAAAGCAGGCATGTTTGATCTGCCATCTTCTCCCTGCTTTCCGTGGAGTGCTGTGGGTTCAGGCTGGCTGTTCAAGTTAAGAAAAATTTTAAGGTCTGATCAGTGACAAGAAAAATTGCTTTTATCATTACTGCAGTTTCCTTAAACCTTCTATAATACAGAACTCAAAATAAGTAAGAATAAAACAGATGAAACTTTCATTTTCAATATAAAGTGTTACAAAAAAAGGACTTTTTTCACTTGAATAATGAATTAATCATAGCACACATGTTACAGTTTTCAAGTCTTATTTAAATAGATAGCATTTTCTGGCTTGGGCTTTTTCTTTGACCTATTAGAATTATTTAATCTTAGAATTTTTCCAAAACATCTTCTGTTTGCTTTGTCCTTAGTGAAGTGTGCCTTTTTTTTTTTTTTTAAGACAAGTAATTCTATATATTTCTTTTTAAAAAAGAGACGTAATTTAAATTTTTTGTCAGTGAAAGACATTAAAATGGAGAAAGTTAAGAGTGTCGGTGTGTCACGCTTGGTTTTTGTACCTCAGTCAAATTCTGCCTGCAGCTACAGAGGCAGTCCCTGTTGGTGGGCCTGCGTGGAGCAGAGCTGCGAACAGTGTTGCTTGCGCATGGGTGCGGGAGCCGTGCAGGCAGAGGACAGGGTTGGAAGGTAGAACCTCCTGCCCTAGGTGCTTTTCCTAAGCATTCACCTGCCGAGGCAGGGGGAAGGAAGAGGGAAATGGGAGAAAAATGTGGCTCGCCAGCAGCATGCCTGAAACTATTTAGGCCAGTTCTTAGCTGGGATGTTAGTACAGAATTGCTCATGCTAAATCAGTGAATGCACATGACCGGTCTCGTAAATAAATCAAATGAGAGAGCTGCAACTGCTGTTTTTAAAACCAAGTGTGAACCCTAGCTCTTCTGTGTGTGGACCTCGATTCAGAGCAAAACAGGAGGCACAGTTGAAGCAACTTGCTTTTTGAACCAGGCTGTCGGCGCTGTGGCTGTGCTGTTCAAGTAATGGGGTTTCACCTAAGTTTAAATCATAAGTCAAAACAAAACTTAACGTGAGCTGTGATCTAACAAAATGTTTCACTATCTCTATGGAAACAAGGCTTTCTATTCAGCAGCTATTTTGAATGGATTGTTGGATTATTGTAAAGAAATTGAGTATCTCCAGGCTAAATGTTACTATGGAAATTTTGTTTTGATAAATGAAAGAGTTATCTGTGCTGCAGTCAGAGTCAAAAATTACAAGCAACCGTACAAAGGTTATTGCTTTGCGTTAGTAGTAGACTAAGCAAGAACACTGTTAAAAATATTTCTGAAATTTGTAATCACTCCTTAGCCATAAGCTTAGTAAGAAAGGAATATTTTTATGAGGCTCTAAACCTGAATAATCTGAGAGAGTATAATCCTGTTGCTCTTTAATAAATTATCTGCAAATTTGAGAGTGTGCGATTTCCCTTTGCGTACTTTAGCCAGCAGCTAAATACCAGCTTTAAATATCTCACTTGCTATTAAATGATAACTAGGAAGAGAGATAAAAGCAAAGCTTTAGTCTAAAAATGAACAATTACATAGTCAGCATTTCAGACGTACTAGTTTTCTTTTTAAAATCAGTTTATATCTTTTTTTTTTTGGTAATGACTGTAGGGTGTATAAACTTAATACCTCTGCACACAGAAATACAGACCACGTTGCTAACAGACGTTGCTTAGGGTCACTAATGTTTATTGTTGCCTTCACTTTTTTACCTGTAGATATTTGAGCTTAGAAATGTGGATGAATGTGCGAAGGTCAGAGGAGCTGATGTATTCATGGAAACAAGAATGTTGTTTTAGATAAAAATCTAGTGAACTTAAGCAGGTCTGTAATACAAAGGGTCTTCTGGGGAGGTGAATGAAGGGATAAACTGTCCAAGGTGTGCATTACATGCAAGAATGTAAGTCTGTATCCTGTTACCTGCATTATTTCACAGTTTGCATTAGTTTAACTCTCTTGAATATTCACTTAATACTTGAAGATTTCCAGCACCGATTCTGGTCTCTGCCTTAATATATGCTTGAAATGTGTATTATGAGGAAGATCTCTGACTTACCCAGTACTGTAAATCCATTAAGTGAACGTTAAAGTAAATGGGTGCAAACTCAGGGAAACCTGTGAAGTTGCACAGCTCCCCCAGGAGCGCAGGGGAATCTTGCTATTGATCTCCAAAGGGCTCCATGCCGAGGGCTAAATTTGGGGGTGTACCTCTGTGCATCCCATCCCCCAGCACTGTGAATTCATACTGCACTATTAAGCTTTGATTATTTTTTTTTTAAGTTGTGTTGGTTTTTTTTTTTTTTAAAGGACTTCTGTGAAGCTTTTACCTTCAAAGTCTAAAGCAAGTGTCACGTAATCCATTTTAATAAAGTTGTGTGTGATATTCTTTCAAATCCCTTCAGGGATAGCAGACCTGTTTATCTGGCTAAACCCGTTCTTTAGTAATCATGGACCACTGAAGTTGTTTTCTCCTTATTCTTAGTTTCTTAACAATACCTTTTAAAATTGGCTGCAGTCTTTCTCTCATCTCAACCAGTTCCCGCCCTTCTCAGCAATCTGTCATCTTAAAATAAAAGAGCCTGCAGCAAAGTTTGTCTGCCATTAAAAGTCAAGACAGACCTTATGATTTTCCTTTTGTATTGGAAAATCTCAGCCTTTTCACAGTATTTATTTAGCAGCCTTTCTTTTCTGAAAGGCTTTCACTGGGTTTAGTAGACATTCTTTGAGAAGAAACCTAAGGGAAATGTTATTTTTGATAGATGGAATGTAGGCTGTGGTCTTCCCCCCCCCCCCCCCAATTCAGATATGAACACATTGTCAGACTTCATAAATTACAATTAAAAAAAACTATAGGAAATGGGCAAAAGAAAAATCCCATACATTTTTCTTCTTGGGTGTGCCCAAGGTGTTTACCTTACACCAAGTCAGGTTGTATAAGCTGGTGTAGTTATGCTGATTTAGTGTAATTATACTGAACTTTTCGTAGTTGATGAAGAATCCAATATTCACTAACGAGCTAAGCAAGGTTAATGCATTTGTACCTGTCACCGAAGCAGGCACTCGTTTTTTTTCCCTCTAGGTAATGCTGTAGCACTTGTAAATTATGAAGTAAATTTTAGTTGTGTATGTTGGGTAACCCCAAAATTGAACATGAAGAAAGATTTGAATGCTGCAAAGATACAGGACATTTTGTATCCATCTCCACACAGTTCTGAAGCAGATGTCTGGTACATTTTAATACCTTAAAACACTTAATTATGGCATCTTAACTCCATATTAGTTGTTCCTGAAACACGTAACATGGTATTCAGTATGCTAAAGTACCTGTTGGAACATCTCTCAAAAGAGATGGGATTTTTTGACCTTTTAAAGCAGGGATTTTTCTTTTAAAACAATTTTACCTGTTAGTCATGGAACAAGTTTTTGTTTCATAACCAGCATTGTGCAACTGTGGTATATGATGGGGGACGGGGTTACGCATTTATTGCGGGCTGTCCAGCAGTAAAACCACCTTCAGGCCTCTGGCATAACAGCTATAACGTGCCAAATGTCACTGGAAAGCAGTTACTTGTGTGTTGTAGATAAACCTCATCCAGTTCCTTTTCTGGCGTCTGAGTATATACACATATATATCAAGTAATCCCTTAGAAACAGCATTCCTATAAATTACCCTGTTAGATTTCTTTGTGTTAAAGATACGGACTGTGGAAGTTGAGCCTTTGATATTCCCTGTAGGGAATACCCTACCTGTGCCCTACCTGTAACGCTGCAGAAGAGCTCCTGGGTCCAGGGTGGGGGTTTTCTTTTATTATTTCTGTGAACAGCTGCACACTTCAGACTTGTGTATGGTTTTAAGAGGAAAATCTGTCATTGTTTTGAACACATCAAGGCACGCGCATTGAGGACATTTTCCAGCTGCATGTTGGTTTTCCGTATACAGTCTTTGTACAGGCATGTTGTCTGGTCACATGGTGGGCTTGCCATTTATAGTTTCAAGCATTAACTGCAGAACTATTTCATCTCTATCTATAGATCTAGTTTGTATTTGGTGATGGGAAGTGGAAGCTGAGATAACTGAAGAGAAATGGCATTTCTCTAAATGAGATGCACTCAAAATACTTCCACTGTCCCTAGTTATTTCAAATGTTTATGTAGGCATCGGACAGCTGCTGACTTGTGTGGTTCCTCAAGGTGTTAAACGTTTTTATTTTAGATCTCTGCCTCAATAGATCCAGAATTAGGCTCTGATCTACATCAGTATTAGGACCAGTTGTGTGCAACAGACTTCTGAAGCAGCCCATAGGACTTGACACTCCCAGCTTACCATAGCATGGGGATGCTTGTTAAAGGTGGTACCATACAGAATTGCCTGGGAATTCAGGATGCCCGTTGTTCAGAAGGGAGGACAAGGAGTAGCTGGACTTCTGCTGGGAAAAAAACACCTTTTGAAAACATGTATTGACTCAAATAATTCTGAGACGTGGGGGATTTCACTCATGGTGTACAAGTGGGGAACGGAGGCCTCAAAAGATTCAGCGTTGCTCATGGTTGCAGCATTCTGTGTACATAGCAAATCTCATCCTGGAAAAATCTTTGCATCATGAAAACAGCTATTAAGTAATATCTCTGTGCAGATTCTCCTTCTTTAACCTGTTAGATGAGTCAGTTGCACAGATTATACTTTAAGGAGGTGTCGGTAAATGCCATCATTGATAGAGACAATAAGGAAAGATGGAGGAGAGTTAAATAAAACTATTGACAAAGTGCATTAAAGTGCAGTGTTGCTAGACACTGCTGGAGAATATGTTGGTATCTTTTATTTATGAATTCTGCTAAGTCCATTAGTTGCCTGCGTGAGAAATGGAAGTACATTATTTTCCTGTGCAAACCACAGTTTAAGG